CTGAAGTCGGATGCTTAATCGACTGAGCCACCCAGGCGCCCCGAGAGAGAGAATCTTAATTAAGCAGGTTCCACGCCCAGCGTAGAACACACTGCAGGGTTCAATCTCATGATTGTGAGATCATGACTTCAGCTGAAACCAAGAGTCAGACGCTTAGGGGTGCCTGGGTGACTCAGTAGATTGAGCATCTGACTTCGGCTCAGGTCATGATCTCACCGTTCATGACTTTGAGCCCCCCATCAGGCTCTGTGGTGACAGCTCAGAGCCTGGAGCCTGCTTCAGATTCTGTGTCTCCCTCCCTCTCTGCCCCTCCCCCACTCATGCTCTGTTGCTCTCTCTTTCCCTCAAAAATAAACGCAAATTTTTTTTTAAAAAAAGAGTCAGACGTTTAACTGACTGAGCCACCCAGGTGCCACTTCTTTTTTTAAGATTTATTTTTAAATAATCTCTACACCTGACATGGGCTTGAACATACAACCCCAATATCAAGAGTCACATGTTCCACCAACTGAACCAGCCAGGTACTCTGGTATTTTCATTTTTATACCAACAATGATCAAATGTAATTTATACAGAGAGAGATACAGATATAGATCATGACCTGAGCTGAAGTCAGATGTTTAACTGACTGAGCCACCCCCCCCCCTTTTTTTTTTAATAGCAGAGGGGCCCCAAAGGCCAAAGCGCCTAGGACACATGGAGGTCACAACGTGGCCCTGGCTATAGCCAGGCCTCAATAGAGCCCAGTGGAGCCATGGGGCCGTGGTGGAGCCACACTGACTCCATCTTGGGCACTGAGACCCTGAGTCTGGGGCAAGTACCTTATATGGTTACTTCATTGGCAGTTACCATGAAGCCCCCTCCATAACACACTCACACACCCATTCAGGTGCTGATCCAGATCTGCTTGTTTACCTCTACCAATGGGGATCTCACCATCTCTCAAGGCCACCCACTCACTACTCTGCCAGATCCATTACTACAACTTGTGCTGAAAATGACCTTTTGGACATTTGGTCCATGGTCCTGCGTCTATCCTTTATTGCACGCTGAACGTTCATTCATTTAGCAGCCATTACCTGTCCATTCTCTCCCAGGTGCTCTGCTAGGCCCTGGGGATGCTAAGGTGAGGAAGGCATGGCCCCTGTCCTTAAGCTGTTCGGTCTTACAGGAGAGACAGATAAGTCACTGGTTATGACACACATTGTTAAGCAGAGAGATGCTGTGCCAGCTACCTTGGTGTCTCCTCTACTTCAGAGCTATGTGACCTCTCTAGGCCTCGGTTTCCTCATCTGCAAACAGGGCACTAACAGCATGTACTTCCCATCTCTGAGGGAGTTGCCGTGAGAAGGAAGTGAGTTAATATGTGTAAAGCATGTAGTGCCTGAACAAAGTACATGCTCAGTAAAAGCTGGCATGGCTCATTACCACTGTGGTGCACACAGAAGCCGTGGGGGCAGAGAGGAGGGAGCCATCTCTGGAAAGATCAAGGAGGGCTTCCCAGAGGAGGCGAAGTTTGAGCTTAGACATTTAAGATCGAGTAGGAAGAATTCCTTGGGTTATAAGGCAGAGAGGGGTGTCCCAGGCACTCCCTCAGGAGAAGGATATACAGAGACACAGAGGAGAGGACAGTGGAGGTTTGTGAGGACTGAGGGTACAGTTTATTCAGAAAGCTCTTTGTCTCTGGGTTCTCTGAAGCCGTAAACTTATGGGTTTTCAGCCCCCAAGGGCTTTACTGGGGAGGGGAGGAGGGCTGTGGCTGGCTGGTGCTGTGGCACCAATCAGGTGGAGAATGTCCTGTTGTTTAACGTGTGGCTTCTCCCAGAAGCCAGAGGCCACCTGAGCAGTGGAGACAGAAGGCAGGAGGCAGAACCCCTGGGAGACCCCCTAAGCAGCAGCAGTGGGGTAGTTCAGATAACCCAGGGGCAGGAGTTAGCATATTTGATTCTAGTTCCAGCTCTGCTCCAACCCTTTCTGAGACCCTCAGCTAGTCCTTGGGTCTCTCTGAGATTCAGTCCCCCCCCCCCCCCCCCCCCCCCCCCGCAATCTGTTCAGTGGGGGTTAGTCCAGAGGCTAAGCACTCCAAGGACTGCTTCTTGAAGGTTCAGGCTCAGACCGGATAGGCTGTAGCTGAGGAGGGTCTGGGACCCTCGGGGCCATGTTCATCAGTCCCATTCTGAGCAGGCGTGTGAGCCCAGGAGTCCTGCCCCTCCAGGCCCTCCCTGCACCTCCCAGTAGCTAGGTCATGAGCACTGCTTCCCTGGGTGGGCAGTTGCAGGGAGGTGGCTCCTGCCCATCCCCCCACAAATACACACAGCCTGAGTGTGGCCCAGGGGGTGGGGGGAGAAGGTGGGAGGAACAGAGGAGGCCTGTCCTCTGGGCAAGGGGGCCTCTGGGCAGCAGCTTCCTGTGCGGTTCCAGGCTGGGGGCCCAGCCCACCTCCTGACAGAGGAGCCTTTCATGGGCCTGGGCTCTCGGGCTGGGGGGAAGGCTGGGCAAGGGGGCCAATCAGGTGAGGGCTGCCCCAGAATCTGCGTGTGGCAGAGCAGTGGGCTGGCAAACGTGTGCCTGTCCCAGTCAGACCAGGCCTTGGAAACAGCTGGTCCCACTACCTCCCGTTTTGCAAATGAGGAAGCCGAGATCCAGAGAAGAGAGGGGGAGATGTGTAAGATCTCCAAGGGTAGAGGCAGAACTGGAACCCAGGGCTCCTGCCTCCTAGCCCAACCACGAGTGAGGGGCAAGTGTGAAGCTTGGTGTGTGTTAGTGTTCAGTGTGTGGCTGTGTGTGTGCATGAGGGTTAATGTATGAAGCACGGATGATGGGCTTGCATGTTCTGAATTTGGGAGTGTTCGTGTGGGGGGTTGGGGAACCATCCAGGGAGCCAGGTGGGGTGAGGGGCCGCTGTCTCAGGCCTCATATGTGTGGGACCCCTTCCTGTACCTCCTTAGGACCCACCCTGGGGGAACGCTCCCCAACGCCACCTTCTGCCTCATCCCCGGCCACCGTCCTGACGCCTTGCACTTCCTTCAAGCCCTGCAGGTACAACCCCAACTTAGGCATCCCCTGTCCCTGTCCCCCACACTCCGGAGCTGGCAGGGTACTTCTGGACTCAGGCCAACGGGAAGGGGCAGGGAGCAGCCCATTCCTGTACTCTGGGACTCAGGCGTGCCTACAGCCACACTCACCACACCCTCTGTAGAATAACCCACTTTTCTCTCTTCTTTGCCCCTTGCCCCCAACCAAATCAGCTGCTAATTTGGAACCAAGGGAGGGGGAATGTGTGTAGGATATAGGACTGGGCTCCCCAGTGACTCCTGTTTCCCCCAGGCTGGCTGCATCCCTGTGCTTCTCAGCCCTCGGTGGGAGCTGCCCTTCTCCGAGGTCATCGATTGGACCAAGGCGGCCATTGTAGCTGATGAGAGGCTCCCATTTCAGGTAGCTCAGAGCCCTGCCTACAGGATGGGGACTGGCCCCCAGACTGATCTCAGTCCTCATTCCTATCCTCTTATGTGCATATTGATGATTTTGCCCCAAACCCCAAGCCTCTGGGGCTCCCAGAGGATCAGAACTCCTGAGGGTACTACGAGCAAGTTGTGAGCCTTTTCCAGCCTCAGTTCCCCCATCTGTACAATGGGATAGGTTAGATCAGATGATCTCCATGGGCCCAGCTCCACTGGTCCATGACTGGACTAACTTAAAGGAAAGCCACAGAAAATCCCAAATCTGACTGCCTCCATGGAGGCTGGGGTGGGGAAAACAAAATGCACAGTGACTTTTCCAGCTGATGAAACTAACCTGCCTGGCTCTGAAAAACGTAGGCATAAGCCTTGAATCCCCTGAGAAGTGAGAGCGGTATGGCAGTTAATAATAATAGCTACCAGTCGCTTAGTCTCCACTATCTGCTAAGCACTTACTGTGTATTATCTCATTTAATCCTCACAATTACCCTATGAGGCAGGTACTAGTACCATCCCCTCTTTACAGATGAGGACGAAGACTCAGAGAGGTTAAGTAGTTTGTCTGCAGTCACACAGTTACTAAGTGGCATTTAGGCCCAGCTCTGTGTGACCCTTGAACTCTTGACTGCTAAGTCACCTGGGACTTGGCCAAGGGTAGCTGCAGCTAACCCACTTGAAAAACCGTGGGGAGAAGGCTTCTGGTTCCCAGACCTCCAACCTGGATTGTCCCCACCCCAGAGTCAGTCAAAGACAAGGCCCCGTGACTTCTCCTTTTCTCTCTCCGTGCTTCAGGTCCTCGCTGCCCTCCAGGAGATGCCCCTCACGCGGGTCCTTGCCCTGCGTCAGCAGACCCAGTTTCTATGGGATGCCTACTTCTCCTCAGTGGAGAAGGTCATGCATACCACTCTGGAGGTGAGGGGCACTTACATGCTGGGGGCCATGGTGCTTGGCTCCTGCCTCTCCCCTGCTCCTTCTCCGCACCCCTCTCTCTGGACACTTCTTCTGCCCCAGTATTTGGACGTCCCCCTTGAAGATGCCTCAGGATGAATCTGAGACTTGACTCTGAGCTCTTGGACAAGTGCCTTCTCCAGTCTTGGCCTCAGTTTCCCCCTCTGTAGAAGGACAGCTCTGGTCAATAGATTTCAAAGCACGTGCCACCTTGCCAGGCCAGGTGATGGGCAGTGGCTGCCTGGGGTGCTGGGTTAAAAGGGATTCTGGGTCCACAAAGAATGTCACAACTTGCTAGCGATGTCTGCCATGAGTGAGGAAAGAAAGGGAGGGAGCAAGCACATCGTCATCCGCCAACTCCGGACACCATCACTGAGTGTCCCTACTCTGGATTTCTGCGCCTGAACCCCTTGGTGACGCAGCTGCTGCCCTCCCTGGAGCCTGGAGGGGGAGGGGCGGGGCTCCGCCAGGGCCCCGGCCGCACTTCCCCAGACCCCGCCCACAGCCACGCCGGCCACTGCCTCTGCACAGCCCTCTCATTTCACAGATTATTCAGGACCGGATCTTTGGAGCATCTGCTCACGCCTCGCTACTGTGGAACAGCCCCCCGGGTGCACTCCTGGCCTTGCCCACTTTTTCCACAAGCCCCTCGGACTTCCCCTTCTACCACCTACAACGGGGTACGCCCTGGGGGTGGGACAATGGGGTACGTCCTGGGGGTGGGACAACTTGAAGTCCCTTCACCAACTCTTTCCAAGTCTGTCCCAGCCTCAACCATACAGTCCCGCCAAGCCCTTCCCTGATTCTCCAACAGCTCTCCTGGCTCCCGGAGTCCCCAGCTCAGGTCACTCTTTAGGCGGTCCGGTCCCCTCCTACCCTAACAACCGTGTCTCATTCCCTCAGGCTCGCGCCCTGTGGGCAGGTTCAGCGCCCTGATCTGGGTGGGGGCCCCAGGTCAGCCCCCTCTGAAGCTCATCCAGGCGGTGGCAGGCTCCCAGAACTGTGCCCAGGTCTGTCCCCTTGCCCGCTGGGGTCTTGGGATCCAGGGTGGTGGGGCGGGACAAGGTCAGGGCCCTTGAAGACCATCTAGACCCCAAGCATAACCACGCATTTTGTGGGGAGGCACATCCCTGCCCTCCTATTTAAGTCCCAAGTTTCTTGTTCCTTTCCTCCCTCCTTCCCTCATGGAAATTGACAAAATCATCTAAAAAGCAGGTGCCCCTTGGGGAGGCTGGAGAAGTAAACATACATTCATGTGTTAACCCATCGGTCATTCTCTGAGTGTCCGGCCATGGGCTTGATGCTGGGGATGCAGAGAAAAAGCAGGAAAGGATTCTGCCCTGGATTCAGATTCAGTCAGCATTCCCTTCCCTGGCACACACTGTCAAATCTCACTTCCAGAGAAGCCACGTAGCCTTGAGAGGATTCACAGGGGAGGGAAGCACTTAACTCAGCCAGCAACAGACAGAGCAGATCCACAGATGCGACATTTGAGCTGGGCTGAGAACGATAAAGGAGCAGAAGAGAATGAAAGCCTTTTGAGAGAAGATGGGGATGGGACATGGGGTCAGGGCCCAGGCTAGGGGTTACCACAACTGACTCTATCTCCTTTTTTAAATGTTTATTTCGTTTTGAGAAAGACAGCATGCTCAGGGGAGGGGCAGAGAGAAAGGGAGGCAAAGAATCTGAAGCAGGCTCCAGGCTCTGAGCTGTCAGTCAGCACAGAGCCCGACGTGGGGCTCAAACTCACGAACTGCGAGATCATGACCTGAGCCGAAGCCAGACGCTTAACCGACAGCCATCCAGGTGCCCCAACAGCTGACTCTCTTCAGTTCTAGTGCTATAGGTAGCTGCCTTCGCGTCACTGGAATTTCTGCCTTCCAGAACCCCAGAGGCAAAAACAGGGCAGCACTGAAAGACCTTGGCTCCAACTAAACTCTTGCCCAAATTCACAAACACAGCTGCTCTCCCTTCAGGAACACCCCCCTTTCCTCCTAGATCTTGGTTCTCTGGAGCAGTGAGAAACCACCCCCATCCAGGTGGCCTGAGACAGCAGTGCCCTTGACAGTCATGGATGGGCAGAGGAAGGTGAGGAGAGGAGCAGAGAGGGGCACAGGAAGGAGGGATTCTGCCCGTGCATGCTGGGAACTGGGGAGGGCACACACAGAGGACTCTATTTGGGCCTGAGCCAAATCTGGACTTCAAGTTAGGCCTGACGCTGGTGAGGAAGTCCTCCCTTACTCCTCACTTAAGTATCTCTCCAGGCAGACTTTGTTCTCGTGCTGTGGCAGAGCTTCCTGGAGCTGATGGTCTGACGTGGGTTTCAGCGGCAGACCTAATAGAAATGATTCGCTTCCATCCCTGGCCCTTCTGAATTGTGCTTCCAGAGAACGGGGGTTTTATGTGATGAAAGGAGGCAGAGGGAGTAATGTCGGCTGTCTTGGATGAGCTAGAAGAGAAACCTGGGACCTTAAGGAAATGGGGAGAGGTGGCAGCAAATTGGGCCAGAGGAGGGTGGCTTCTAAGAACCCCGGATGCTGTGAGCCACCTGTGTGCTATGTGCTTCTGGGCGAGGCCCTTCATCTCTCCAGACCCGTTTCTTTCACATGAAGGATGTCTGACTACCCCTCGCAGGGTTGAGGTAAACATGCAATGTGACAAGAGAGGAATCTTGAGGTGTTGAAACCAGAAGGGCCCCTAGATACCAACTGCCCCATTTTACCAAAGGAGAGGTTGAAGTGCAGAGACGTCGAGTGAGTTCCAGGTCCTAAGTCCAGGAAGCCTTGCTGTTTGCACTGCCCTTCCTTCTACAGCACGTCCGCAGGGGCTCCTGCTTAGCAGATATGCAGACAGTCACCGTGGGAGCCTGGGGACGGTTCCCACGGCTGAAGTGGCCTCACCTCCCTCCCACTGCAGGTCAGTGACCGCTTCTTCCCGCACAGAGCCATCAGCACGGATGCCATCCTCAGCCTCGATGGGCACAGCAGTGTTACCACAAGTGAGGTGAGGGCTGGGCCCACGAGGAGCCCAGTGCGTAGGGGGGACAGAGCCTGAGGGCCCCGGAAGCCCCTCAGATTCCTGGAAGGGGGAGAGGCAGAGGACCAGAGCAGAGGTAAACCCTCCCACTTTTGAAACGATCCCAGGGAGCCAATCACCCTTGTGCTCCACAGACTCTTGAAAACAATTTTCGCCTCCCAACTGAAAAAGCATTGTTTCCAGCTCCCAGTTGGGACACCCCACCCCCACCCCCAAGCACTCCTGGAGAATTTTACGCTCGCATCTCCTCTCCCCTGAGTCCCCCCAGCTAGGCCAGCCTTGCCTCTGTATCTCTGGATGTTCCCAGCCGGTCCGAAAGTCCCTCCTCAGACCTCGCTTAACTATCTCGCCAGGTGGACTTTGCTTTTCTGGTATGGCAGAGCTTCCCCGAGCGGATGGTGGGCTTTCTGACGTGGAACCACTTCTGGGATGAGGCCCAGGGTGGCTGGGGCTACACTGCTGAGAGGGCCAACGAGTTCTCCATGGTTCTCACGTCAGCTGCCTTCTACCACAGGTAAAGATGGCGGCCCCGGCCCTGGGAGCAGAGGGCCAGAGACGCCCCTCTCTGAACCACAAGCAGGGTGGTGTGGGAGTGAACATAGCAGTCACTATGTGACCCTGGAGATCCAGGGTCAAGGCCCAGATCTGCCACATCCCAGTTGTGTGATGGGCAAGCCTCCTCACCTCTTGTAAGGCTCAGTTTTGTTATCCGGAAAATGTCTTCACCTCACAGGGCTGATGTGAAAATCAGGTAAGAAAGCCCTATGAAGGCCTTGGCACACAGATGGTCAACAAATGGTAGCTAGTGTTGTTTTAAGTAGAGCTAAGTAGAGGGTATAGACAGTGTTTGGGTTTGGCGATGGTGGCGACAAGAGAAGGATCCTGAAGCTTTATAAATGTGTGTGTGATGGGTTGGGGACTGTCCCAGACCTTCGAGAAGTTGACCGAAGCACCTGTCTTTGGGGCAGGGACTGAATTCTAGAAGGCCCCTTTAGAGGGGTTCCTTAGACATGTTTAAACCAAGTGTGTGTAACCTGGAACCTCTAGTAGATTCTGCAGGGGATTCTCAGCAGGTGAAGAATACCCCTAAGGTCTGCAGGGTGGACCTAGGTTGTCCTGTAGGAGGACTGTGTGAAGCAAGGCTCACCCAGAGCAACATCAGCCTGGTTAATCCACAGCCTTCCCGAAGCTGGTCTTTGGAGCTGCCATATTTAATGGCCTTGGAACCAGCTGATCCCCCACCTCATTCTGGCTGAGTTCAGACTTCAGAACCCAGGGGTGGGGGCCCTAAGGAGCTGTAAGGGAGAAGGCAAGGAGTACACCATCTGCTGAGCACAGATGTCAGAACCACAGAGCACAGAACAGTAGAGAGAGGTTTGTATTTCTGGTGTGAGCTCTCTGAGATGGCCAGGGCTCAGAGAGGGGGGCAGAGGGTTCTAAAGAGCCTTGGGGATTGAAGTCAAAGGGAGAGTGACGTCAGGAGGGAGGAGAATGGAGCCCGGTGGGGAGGGGTGGTGTGTGAATTTGGCTGCAGCCTCTGCCTGTCATTCCCCTTTGCCCAGGTATTACCACACCCTCTTCACCCACTCCCTGCCCAAGGCTCTGAGAACCCTGGCCGATGAAGCACCCACCTGTGTGGACATCCTGATGAACTTCCTGGTAGCAGCAGTCACCAAGCTGCCCCCTATCAAGGTGCCCTATGGGAAGCAGCATTTTGAGGCCACACCTCCACTGGTGAGGAACAAGGGGGACAGGTTGGCACTGGGAGGGCACTGGCTGGGGAAGGGATTCCCGCTCACTGTCTAACCCAAATCCTCTTTGCTTCAGGGTTCGGGGGCTTTGGGGGGGGTGGTGGTTCGGAAGGACAGAGGAGACCTCCAACGCATTTCTCCTTCCCTTTAGGTGCCTGGGGGTCCGGAGCCACAGCCGACAGCCCGAGACTGCATCAACCAGATGGCTGCAGGTTTCGGCTACATGCCCCTGGTTTCCTCTCGCCTGCGTCTGGACCCAGTGCTTTTCAAGGACCCGGTGTCCGTGCTGCGCAAGAAGTATCGCAGCCTGGAGAAGCCCTAGGAGCGGTCAGAGGAGCCCCCAGCCCTGCTCCCACCGGGCGCCTCACCTGCTCAGGGCGGGGGAGGCGGTGCATCAGCTCCCTCCCTTGGAACAACTGGAGACCCAATCAAGGCAGCCAGTTAGCTAACACGTCAGATCTCTCTTGGCCAATCACAGCCCTAGCGTCCCAAGGCGCGGGGCCCCGCCCCACCCTCCAGCCCGGCTGCGAGTGGCAGGCCCCAGGTGCAAGGCGCTTGCCCTGCTGCGGCGCCTCTGCCATCGCTGACCCCTTGCCTGGAATGCCTTTCTCGGCTTCTGCGGAACTGACTTCTACTTGTCTTTCAGATCTTCGCCTTCTCCATGGATTTGACTGACCCCCATCCCTGACCCGGATCCTCTGAGCTTTCACAGCCGGGTGTTTCCCACACTGTTCGCGCGGCTTTGCAAGGTACACGGTCAGGCCCCAGGACTAGCCTGGGAGCCCCGGCCATGTCCTCTTCTCTCTGGCTTGGCAAGTGTTACACCAATATTTGACGAACAGATAAAAGAGACATCAACTGAGTGCCCGGCCCTGTGCCGTAGTTGGGAGTATGGACAGTGTGTTGAGTGAGACCAAACTCCGTCTCCCC